CTCTTTATTCTTCATCACATAAAAAATAAAAGACAACTAGATATTTTTATTTCTGGCCTTTGTTTCCTTACTAAGTTTGCATCATCACATATCTCGTGGTTCTCAAATTTTTTAAGAACACTGGGCGCATAACAAAATTATTTTAGGATGTTGGGTATTAGCAAAAAGAATATTTTAGAGTGCTTGATGAATAAAAAAAATTAACCTAATATATTAAGTCCTACTACGAAAATACTTAATAATTTATAAATATTTTGGCATATAAGTCCTGTTGTAATCCTAGCGAGAATTTTGAACCTGCGTGAGAAGTAAAATCACTTTACAAGTCAGTGTATGGTATCTTGCTGCTTATTGCAAAGTACTGTTTTGCAATGGCTAGAATTCAATTTCCCCCTTTTCTCCTCATGGATCAAAGTAAAATCTAAGTGAAAACAATCAAAGAACTTAGGGTATGTTTGGCTCAATGAGAGGAAAGGGAGGGGAGGGATTTTAATGGAGGGAAGGGGAGGGGAAGGGAGTAGAAGGATTTTAATATTATCTTGTTTGGATTTATAAAAAAAGAGGGGAGGGGAGGGAAAAACATTTTAATATGGATAATTTTGCTCTTATTTTATTTAAGACGTGAGCATAATGGTCACAACATGACAAAATATAGACATAATGGTCACAACATGACAAAATATCGGCATAATGGTCATAATATGACAAAATATTGCCCTTTCCCTCCAAATCCTCCTAATTTTGGAGGGGAGGGGAGGGGAAATTTTAAAAAATTTTCCCTCCCCTCCTAAAATTTGTGTGTTGCCAAACAAGGGGAAATGATTAAAATCCCTCCCCTCCCTCCCAAATCCCTCATACCAAACACATCTTTAAAGAAACTACAAGCAGTGATATTTATTATGAAAAATACGTGGAAGCTAGAAGCTACTCGCCCAGTTCATGAGAAATAGAGAATATATATGTGTGCGTAATGATTTATTAGGAATGAGATGTCATTTCCACCATATTTAACTTATAATGTGCAGTTTTAGTGTAAGAAGATATGAGATTCGAAGTAGTCTGTATTAAATTAATTTTATGCCATTTCTTGAATTGATACAAAAATATAACTTGTTTTTCAGTGGATAATGTATGGATAAAAACTAGAAGGATACCATAGCTTTGAATCAGAGTCACTAGTATAGACTATAGTCTGGTGGTCTTGCTGAATATTGGACTTTAGTGACATAAAATAAAATAAATAAATAAAGATTTGGTGGAGGTGCTAACTAATTCTCTCAACACTATAATATTCTGTTGACTTTAATTTCATCGTGAGATCAAATTGAATCCTATGCTTATTTTTCGTACAATGCACCATATATTACATCCAGTTATCAAATTATCAAGCGCACAACATCTAAATACAATGCAAAAGATAAAATCAAAACTAGGTCCTAATTATCAGTTGACTTATTTGAGGAGATTAAGGAAGTAAGTTAAGTTATAGTAATAAATAGTTGTTATTCTTAAAATATCCTTGTTAATTAAGTATATTGGCTAGAACTATTATTATTAGAAGGATTATCTTGGAAAAAAAAATGCATAAATATGAGAGACAAAATAGATTGGGGTCTTATAATTAAAATCAAACAAAAAATCAAACGGGGTCTTATAATAAGGACCGGAGATAGTATCAAAATCCAAATTTTTTATGAAAATATGAAAAACCAATTACTGTAATTGATTATTCGAGATACGTGAGGACACCTATTTATGTGGATTATTATTGAAGACGAATTCAAATTTAAATGAGAGACTTGAATTTACATTCAGTTATGAAGTGAGGTCAGTGTCGCCATGATGCAAGGAAAGAAATTAAAGAATAAGTGGGGTGGGGGCAATTGAGTCATTTTGGTCGAATTGGAACAAACATGCAAATTGACAACCACATAGGTAGATGGAGGACGCCGTTGATTTGATGCCTTTCATGCGTATTGATGCAGGTCGACGGTTAACCATGACAAAAAAGGAACCTTCTAAAAAAAAAAAAAGACCTCATTTATTTTTATCAACCCAATCAAAAAAACCAATCTAATCTAAACCTAAGAATATTCGAACAAGTTCTTACTTACCAATGGAAAGTGGGAACACAATAAACGACTGATTAGATGTACATTGAGTTGTGGGGCCATCCAACCATCGTAATTAAAAAAAAAAAAAAAAACACACACACACAACCATGTAATACTTTTTTAAAGTTTGATGCAATTTTTAACCGTATCACTTTGAAATAAAAGCCATGATTTTAAATTCATGTAATTTTAGATTGTTTTCAAATAAAATTAATACTTCTCCGGTCCTTAATATAAAACCCAATTCTTGAGTTGGTTTTGATCCTAAATATAAGACCAGTTTCTCATATTTATCAGTTTTTTCTAAATTACCCCTATGGATATTCCCTCAACTATAATTAAGTAGAAGAGGGAGATGGGGTATTAAGAAAGATGATTATGATGTTTTAGGAAAAATGTGTCACCTTTCTTATAATTAACTAACTTACCTAACTTCCTTAATCTAATTAAATTAGTTAAATGGGTCTTATATTAAGGATCGGAGGAGTAATTAATTAACTTACAATAAAACAATACTGGTAATTGTAACAAGTGCAAAAGAGAAAGAAAAAGGAGTGGCGTGAAATTGCAAAACTTAGGAACCAAGTAAATGGGGAATGGGAGACAGTATTAATGAGGGCACAGAAATGTGTGCGGGCGTGTAGCCATACCAAATGTAAAAGACACTTCAACAATGTGACCAAAAAAGAGGCTGTTCTAATCAAGATGTTCACAGCACATGCCTCAGCTTCAACGTCTCAAACTCATTATTTAATCTTATTTATTGTTGAATTCAATAGGAAGAATTGCTATCACATTCTCAAAAACAAATATAACTACTAAAAGTTATGATAACAACAGGACATTATACAACAACAAATTTCAGTATAAAAATAACATCGGTTCACTTATTATTAAAATTTTTTATAATTATTTTTCTCTCTCAAAAGTTTATAGTGATTCTCCCAAGTCAATATCTAAAAGAAAGATTCGGACAAAATAAAACCTAGTGACATTTGCCATCTCGAATTCTTAAAAAATGGAATGATTGCTTGATGCTCTTATAGCCGTATTTACAGAGGAAAAAAAAATAGTCATATTTATAGGGTAGAAAGAAAAAATATTTTCATGAATGTAGAATTTTATTCTTCATTTATTATTGTATCAACTTTATTCTTAAAAGTATAATGTATATTAAGAGCCTATTTGGAATGACTCGTATGATTTACAGAATATGAGATAAGTATGTAAATAAAATTTTGTCTCGACTCATATGAAATGTATTTATAAGTGATTCCATACATGATTCCAAACAAAGCCTGAATAATGATCAAGTTCAAAAGTTGTTGAATTAAAAAAAAATTAAAAAATTTAAATTTTTTTAGTAAAATACAGAAACATGTTCAAGGTGATTTATAAATCGGAGTTAGCTGCATTTGTTAGATTCAATACCATATATTCATTACATGTCACAAAACAATGAAAACAACAGTTCGAGGAATGATGTATATGGACGCAGTACTATTTTTAATACTATAACGACGCTTGATTACTGATAAAGCATGCCCTGTTTCTAACGTTGGCCAGTTAATTAGAGGAAGCTTCTTGGTAGGTACTATGTAGGTTCTCCTTTAACCATCACAATTATGCTCTTTGTCTTTCTACCTTCCTCTTAAATCCTCTTTTTTACTACTGCCTCCGCTTTTAAATATAAGATATAGTTTTTACAGCAAAAGGTAGTACATTACCTTCTTTAATTCTTACTTCTTCCCCTGTTTGACACAGGAATTATGAATTAAGAAAATTAGATTAATTAACTAATTATAATAAACATGATATATATTTTTAGAACATCTCTGTCCAACATTTGATCATATATTATTTTAAAAATTAACTAAATTAATATATAAGAAAATAATAAATATGAAAAATAAAAATTTTATGTTTGGAATCAAAATTAAGACACGATTGACTTTTACATCAAAAGAACCGGATGAGTATTATAAAGCCTGTTAACAACTTGGCCAGAACACCAGACATGAGAATATCAGAATTCAGAGCCAATCATGCAGAAGAGTCCGATTTGAGGTCTGCGCTGAGGCACTGAGGTCGGATAAGAGTAAAAGGCTATAAAACGGTGCGTTTAGCGCTTCGGTCAAAACGAGAAAACCAAGGGGGTGATTAATTATTAGTAATTACAGGAGAAATCACACTGTTCCTAGTACCGCTTCCTTACAATACAGTCCGTTCTATATTTTTTTATTAAAGGTCGTAGGGCAGGATCACCCACTGTCATGTTCACAGTACGTGTCTGCCTACGTGCCCGTTGCATTCTGACCAATCTCTCGCAGTCTCTCTCTCTCTCCCCCCCCCTTCCCTCCTCCTACCACTCACACTCACTTACTCTCGCTATGCGCTTTCTGCTTTGCCCTACTGTCCACTTTTTACTTTAATCCTCTCCTTCCCTTGCCCTCGCTTTTTCTTTCCTTCATTATTTTATATGCAACTTTCGCCAGTAAATTTGCTCTTTTTCGTCGTCTCTTTTCCTTTTGCTCTGTCCCTCCAAATTTTGATGTTCTTGTGGATCCTCTTTCTTTCTTTCTTCAGTCCTTCAATTGGAGTTGCTTTTACTCTCCCGACCATAAAATGCTAGCCCCTTTTAACAAAATTCTTCTAATTTATGGGCTACTGTGTTCCCATCCGAAGAAACCCGCCTCCAGATTCTTACTTGTCTGCTAAAAATTTGAGAATCCGAGGCTCTCCGTAACTTCCACTGGTCCATTCAGCAAAATGCAAGTTGACCTGGGGCTTCAGCTCTGCTGCTAACGTCTATTTTTGAGCTTCCATGAATCCCATTGCTCTCGTTCAACTTCATTTCAGGTGATTACTCTGCGAAAATCTTTCCTTGTTCCTTCACATCAGTTGTTACTCGTAACTCAGCTCGTAGATCTGGTTCAGTCGGGTAATAGTCGTGGATGCTGACTTCTGCGTTTCAAACTCAGATTTGGGGTGGACATTGTGGGTTTGGTTTCCTGGATTAAGCTTTGGGGAACTTTCTTTTTTTTCACTTCTTGGGCTTAATTTTGTGTTGGGATAGTCGTGGTCTGGTTGGTCTTTAGGATCTGAAGGTAATTGTAGAAAAACGTGTTTTAGGTATATTTTCTTAAGGAAATTTGGTTGTTCAACGACTCTAACTCTCTCATGTCTTGCTTTGCTTCATGATCAATAAATGCGTTTAAAGAAAATTTGTGTTTCTTTCCACTCATTCCTTTCTTTGTAGCGATTCAGGTCATTATTTTTTCGTGTTGGGAAAAACAAAATCAGGATGAAAGCTTGCGTTGGATTGTGGTTGGCTAGATAACTTTGTATTCTGAGGATAAAATGGAGAACTATAAGCTCAAGTTATCAGTCCTGGTTAAAATAGTTTGTAAAGCTTGACGAAACCTAAACGTACCAACTCATACGACTATAATTTACATTAGATGCTATCCTCAAGTTCTTGTTCAACAGTTTTTCTCCATCTTCTTCTTTTTTAGCAGTTGGCTTCACGTGTTGAGTAAATTCTATTCCCTACTCGCGCTCGACCTGTCTTACAAAGAAGAGAAAGGACCTGTTTTACTAATTTGAGTAAATTTCTTGGTGGAATAGTTCTCATTTAAGATGTTCATACCTCTGGTGGTTGAGAAAGGTGCAGTATGCAAGTGTCCCCATTGAACATCACTGAGCTTTTTCCCCTTTTCCATTTTGTGTTATATTTTCTTAATTATTCAAAGCAAGCCCTCATGCATCACAATTCAGCTGTTCAGTTCATTTGGATACTGCTCTTTTCTTTTCCTGGTGTGAGATTGGATGCCAACCTTTAATGTGTTGGGAGGCATTCATTTTCTACGTTGTCACTATTTTTATTCAATCTAGGTTGTCATATGTAACTTATTTCTTCATCATGCCCGTTTCTTACTTAGATTTGTGGTTATGCTTCTATACCAGGAATATGAAGTTCAGCTGAGGTTACTCAATTTAATAGTCAGGTTCTGTGAGTTATAGCAAACAGCTCTCCATGAAGTTCTATTCATCTTCGTTGCAACCTTTCCTTTTGGTCATTGTTATTATTTTTCCTCTGGCTATTGCTGACTTAAATTCGGAAAAGCAAGCCCTTCTTAGTTTTGCCAATGCTATCCCCCATCAGCGGAACCTTAAGTGGGATCCATCCAGCTCTGTCTGCAAGTCTTGGGTCGGCATCACTTGCAATCCAAATGGCACTCACGTTGTTTCTGTCAGGCTCCCTGGAATTGGACTCGTGGGATCCATCCCAACTAATACACTTGGAAAGCTTGACAGCCTTAGAACTATAAGCCTTCGATCCAACCTACTCACTGGAAATTTACCTAGTGATATCACTTCTCTTCCTTCTCTCCAGTATCTCTACCTCCAGCATAATAACCTTTCAGGTGATATACCCACCTCATTTTCACCCCAACTAAATGTACTTGATCTGTCTGATAATTCTTTCACCGGTGTAATTCCAGAGACTTTACAAAATTTAACAGAACTGACTAGATTATACCTTCAGAACAACTCCCTTTCTGGACGGATACCTAATCTCAAAGTCCCTAAGCTCAAGCTTTTGAACTTAAGTTACAACCAGTTGAATGGCTCTATCCCACCAGCTCTTCAGAAATTTCCCAACTCATCCTTTGAAGGGAATTCTCTCTTGTGTGGAAAACCTCTAAAACCCTGCACTTCTGTCCCTCCTACACCTTCTCCTGCCTTACCTCCAGCCCCACCATTGGCTCCAAAAAGGCAAAGCTCCAAAAATAAATTGAGTAAGGTAGCTATCATTGCAATCGCTGTTGGAGGAGCTGTTCTGCTGTTACTTATAGCTCTTGTTATTGTTCTCTGCTGTTTAAAGAAAAAAGACAATGGAAGATCCAGTGTAATTAAAGGGAAGGGTCCTAGTGGTGGGAGAGGAGAGAAGCCGAAAGAAGAGTTTGGCAGTGGCGTGCAAGAACCCGAGAAGAACAAGTTGGTTTTCTTTGAAGGCTGTTCTTATAATTTTGATCTTGAGGATTTGCTAAGAGCTTCAGCTGAAGTTCTGGGTAAGGGTAGCTATGGTACTGCCTATAAGGCTGTATTGGAGGAGTCCACTACTGTTGTGGTGAAAAGGTTGAAGGAAGTAGTGGTGGGCAAGAGAGACTTTGAACAGCAGATGGAGACTGTGGGAAGGGTTGGGCAGCATCCAAATGTTGTACCCCTTCGTGCTTATTATTATTCAAAGGATGAGAAACTTTTGGTCTATGACTATATCTCAGGGGGCAACCTGTCAACACTACTGCATGGTATGCATTTCTGATCATCTAAATTTCTTTCTCGTTCCTGTATGATGATACTTCTTTCTTATCATTCTCATATGAGGTTAAAGTGTGTCCTCCCTTTGATTTATAGAGTCTGAGATGTATTTCCTAATCATTTGATTTATAGTGTGTTGATTTGTGATGGATTTTCACTCTGAAATTCTTGTCTACTGCAGTAAAATATGCAGTCTTGCTATTTTCCCCCTGTATAAACTTTCTGACCTCTAACCCGAAGCTTCAAAGAAATTTGTAAATGCGGAAAGGAAGAGTATCATATTCAAGCTGGAAAAAAAATGCTTGCATTTCCTTGAGGACTTTGTAGAAGCCGTTGTGATTCTCCTGCTATAAAAAAAGTTATACGCAATCCTTTATTACTGATGATGACAATTTGATTACAGGTAGTAGGTCAGGTGGAAGAGCTCCGTTAGATTGGGATTCCCGAGTGAAGGTCTCCCTGGGAGCTGCCCGAGGAGTTGCCCACATACATTCCGTTGGGGGTCCAAAATTCACTCATGGAAATATCAAGTCCTCAAATGTCCTCATCCAAGATAATGAAGCCTGCATTTCTGATTTTGGCTTGACCCCGCTTATGAATGTTCCAGCAGCCCCCTCCAGGGCTGCAGGTTATCGCGCTCCTGAGGTGATTGAGATGCGTAAACACACTCATAAATCAGATGTGTACAGCTTCGGTGTCCTCCTTCTGGAAATGCTTACTGGGAAAGCACCCCTCCAGTCACCGGGACGTGATGATATGGTTGATCTCCCTAGATGGGTCCACTCTGTTGTTAGGGAGGAATGGACGGCTGAGGTTTTTGATGTGGAGCTAATGAGGTATCAAAACATTGAAGAAGAAATGGTTCAAATGTTGCAAATTGCCATGGCCTGTGTGGCAAAGGTGCCGGATATGCGACCTAGCATGGATGATGTAGTGAGAATGATCGAAGAGATCCGGCAATCTGACTCAGAGAACCGGCCGTCTTCGGAAGAGAATAAATCCAAGGACTCCAACGTTCAAACTCCATAAATTACTTCCTGGCGTTCCTTGTTGGTTCCATACAAGATTGATTTCTAGACATTCGTTATTTAGGGAGCAACATTGAGTGGTATATAAGAGTGAGTGCTTACTCAAGGTTTCTCAGTTGTATTCAAACCTTTTCTGTCCAATTGTGCATTATTTATTTTTCTTCACAGACGGAGTCCCCTGGGGTTTTTCGTTCAAAATGTAGGTTTTTCCGCTAATCTTTTCATGATATCTTGTAGCATCGTGGGTTTAATTGATGATCTTCATTCTCCCAAACTGCCTTCTATTTGTTGTTTGGCTGGCCCTCTATTGATAAGTTTGTCGTACAATCTCGTCAATTGGAAAAATGTTAAGAAAATCAACCTCTTTTTTTTTTTTCGACGACACTGTCGCAGTTCATTAATCGGTTTAGAATTACAGCCTTACAGCGAGGAGATCCAGCGTGCGGTCATTTCAAATCTTGCTTTACTTTAGACAAGAAACCCGACCAACAAACCATGGAATCTGAATAGTGATCTTTGGTTATTCTTCATTACCGCTTTTTTTTTTTTTTGTCAGATTTAACCACGCCAAATGCCAATTGCACGACTCTTGAGTTCCGTCTTTCTGAGCTGTTGCACTTTTGCTGGAGTATGTTCAGTGGGCTTTGATGAAATATCATTCCTTCACTTCAACTGATAAAGCTCCGTCGTCCGCAAGAGGAGCTCTAATATAAAAAGGCTTAAGTATTTGGGTCGTATCAGACTATAGAGTTTCTGGTTTGGGTTTTGTTGGTGTTCTTTCCTGTTCTCAAAATCAGATTGGGCTTTTGAATCGACGAACAAGACGAGCCCAATAAAAAACAGATTAAAATGTAATTTTTAAGAAAAATGTTAGATTAAAATCTTTGGGAACCATTTGAATCATCTCTATCTATCTACCGAAACTAATAAGACGGTAAATTAAAGTTTTTGAACCCTTTTAATTTAAAAAAATCTATATATGCAGCCAACCAACGCCAGTATTTCTGAAAGTTTGTAGAAAAAATATATCTTCAAAAATTGTGTTGTCATGAGGGCTAACCAAATATTGCTTGGCTATTTGTTCCAAGACGAAATTACTGCTCGGATTGATTGGAAACTAAAGCTGGTGTCGCTCACGGAATTTTGGTTTGCTAACATCAGAAACAGAGTTTGAAATTGTATAGAATGTTCACCCACTACCATCGGGGATGTAGCTCAAATGGTAGAGCGCTCGCTTTGCATGCGAGAGGTACAGGGTTCGATCCCCTGCATCTCCACAATATTTTTGTTTGCTGAAATTAATGGCAGTTGCTGAAAATTACTAGAAAAAACACTTTGTGAAATCTATGAAAAAGTTTCTGATGCATATCGATCGGTTGCGTTACTAGCATCTCTTTTGTTACTGTATCTTCACCCGCTAACTGATTTTGCCATATATAGAATTTCCCTGTTGCGTATTGGCAATGTCATAACAAATCTCTCCTTCACAACCATGGCAAACTAAATTCACGTTCGAGCTACTTGGCAGCCCCTTCTTCCCCCTTACGCAAAGTTTTCGTCGGCAATGGCGGCGGAGCTTCCCCGATCAAACAGCAAGCCGGCGTTACTCAAAAAACCCTCCGCCGCCGCGAAGTCTCGCCGCCATGCCTTCTTCGAAATGCCTTTTCAACCGCCTCCACCGCCGTTCCGTTGGTCCGGACGCAGCGACGTTGGTGAATTGGATCATGTTGGCGGACGCTGCCGATCGTATTGCTTCTCAATTTGTACATGGGCTTGTATCGGAATATTCACTCTCACCATTATCCTCCTCCTCATCGGTATCTCCTACCTGGTCTTCCTCCGGTCAGGGTTGCCTCACGTGAACATGACCAAATTACAGTTCCATAACTCACAGCAGATGAATTCAGTTCTGGAATTGGAGCTAACAGTCTCAAACAAGAATCAAAAGCTCAGACTGATTTATGGGCCTTTGGCATTTGATGTGACCAGTGAGGATGTGAAACTGGAGAAGACAAAGATTACTGGGTTCCGTCAGAATCCCCAGAATGACACTTTCTTGGATGCACACATGAAAGTGTACAATAATGCCGGAGTAAATCCAAATGCTGCAGGCGATACGCAGTCTGAGTCGAATGCTCATGAAGCTGTGTTTGATGTGTATCTGAGTGGTTCCATTGGTTTTGATATTGGGACTCTGCACACGATTTCAGTGCCTTTTCTATCAGCTTGCTATGAAGTTAAGGAGATCGATGTGCGATTAGGAAGAAGACCTAAATGTGATATCAGGATGTTTGCTTTCAGGTAAAATTACTGCTATCATATGATAGCTTACTGGTCAATTAAGTAAAGTATTACGGCTATCGCTCTAATTTGCAATGACACGCCTTTCTTGGTTGGTGGTAATTAATGCGGAGTGTGTGAGGTGCTAAAATTGTCCTTTGGTGATATTTACTGTCATGATTTGAACAAACGGCATGATGTGATTCCAGACTTTGGTATGTGGTTAATCTGCAGAGTTTACTATATTATCAAGTTGAAAATGCATATTGCACATAATAGATAGCATGCATTCTGCAGAACTCCTCTTAGAAATAAAATCATGTTTAAATTGTTGATCCGCGTAATTTTTCTGCAGGCCATCGGCTAATTGAAGAAGAAATCAGCTGCAAGCAAGTTTACGGGAAGCAAAATTTCAAGGAATACTTCATTAACGGAAAAAGTTGGAACTGTCGATGTCTTTTACCCCCCCCCCCCCCGGCCTTCCAGTTCTCACGGGCTGCTAACAGAGACTTGCCCTTCAGTTTTTCCTTGTTTAAAGTAAAAGCTATATGTATGTACATAAGATGCATACAACGTAAGATCGTCTTTATATATATAGAAAAAGTAGGTTATTTTTTTCTATTTTATTCGATCTTCTCTATTGTTTTTCCTCTGTAGATAGAATTCTATTGGCCATCTATACAATGTCTGATTTCTTCGATTTGATTGTCCATATCATCGCTAACCAAAAACAGGGAGTTATCTGTATTAAAAAAACACCCAGAGAGTTCTGTGATCCGTGAAATGGGAAAGAGGGGGAATAAGTTGAGGCTATTCTGTCACCTTATTACGTGTTTACTATATTCAATCTTCTGTCATGTTCATTACGCATGTTAAATTATTTTCCTAAAGGTGAATAATATGTTTATGACTTTTTTCCAAAAGAAAAAAAGTTGAGTATTTGATCCAACCATTTGTTCCAAGTGACAACGTCCTTATCGTGTGCATCGCCTTGAATTGATTATTTATTCAATATTTTAACTTGTATTAATTTTAATATTCATGTACATCGCATTGGGGTAAAATCCAGTTTATGAATAATCAGCGTTACGATTTTTTTTATTTTTTGGATTTTACTTTACATAACGTATAATTATTGATCTTTTTGACCATGGTATAATTATTGATCTAATCCTGCGCGAACCAATGGATTATTTTTTGGCCAATCAAATTGACTAAAATGACTAATTTACAGCTTTTATCCGTTTCGCACCCCTCCCCACTTTTTAATCATTATGACGACATTTAGCTATCGAAACTTCTGTGTCGGTCCTCTGAATCTAAATATAAAATTATTTAGGAAAAAACGCAGGGCCAGGACGTTGATCTTACGCTAGCATGGAATACAAATACTGAGAAAATTCTAGAAGCAATCCTCTCCCTCCTCTTTCTCTCTCCCCCTCTGTGGCTTATAATCTTTCCCTTCGCCTCCACACCCTCAATTATTTCTCTGGTTTTCGTTCCCTCGCAGCTTCATTGTCAATTTCTTGGTTTTCGAGTTCCTCTGCTCCAATTCGACCTCAGGTAATTTAGCCTTCGTGCTTTGTCTCCTGTTTTTGCTTCTGTGTGGTTATCGAAGGAGATTGTGGTCTGTTCTGTCGTTGTCAATTCGACCTCCAGATGCTTGGGCCTGCAGTTTATTTTATTGGTGCCCGGTCTTCACGATCTGATTGCTCATAAAGCGTTATTGTTGGTATTTGTGGTTTCTAGCTTCTGTCTTTGAGGACTCTCACCTGAAGTTTACTATGGCATCGAAACGCATTTTGAAGGAGCTCAAGGATTTGCAGAAGGACCCTCCGACTTCATGCAGCGCGGGTGAGCTTCCTGATCCCCTTCTTATATTTCTTCCAGGGTCTATTGATTTTCACGATTAACAGACACATCGGATAAAATTATATTGCAACCCTTCCCCGCCAACAGCAGAACTGTAAAATGTTTTTCCAAGATGTATAATTTAAAGAAATCGATTGTTGTTCTGTGCAACCATTGACAAATTGACTATGAATTTTCGGTCAGCACAATTTTCATTTTCTCTTTTGTTCTTTGTTGCCCATTAGGACCGAGTTCATGTCTTGGGTACCATTTAATCGGTGTTATATGTATTTTGGATTGAGTTAGATGGCGAATCAATCATAACATAACCTATAACCTAGTTTGATCCTTCGTATATTAACGTTTCTGAACGTTGATTGCCCTGGCCAAGTCATGGTTCTTTATTTGTTATTGAGAATCTCTCCGCGGTTAGTTATATAATGTCGCATGAAGGCGATTATTACATGAGCTTTTAAGGCTTATCTATCAACATCCTTGGTGATGCCAACTATTCTTGTAAGATTTGAACTTTCCTCTTGCCGAGTAGTTGTTTAGTTGGTTGTAAGAAGTTAGTTATAATCTGAAAGTGATCTACATCTAGTTATAATCTGAAAGTGTTCTACGTCTTTCATTGACGTTAAAATTCTCCATCATCTATACTAGGTCCTGTGGCTGAGGACATGTTTCATTGGCAAGCAACAATAATGGGACCTTCTGATAGTCCATATGCGGGTGGTGTCTTCCTTGTCTCAATTCATTTTCCTCCGGACTATCCATTCAAGCCACCGAAGGTAATAATATACTCAGCTGTTCCTTTTGTTAGTCACTTGTATATTTGCTCCTCTCAAGCTGCTATAATCCTGAGGTGGGTTGATGACTGTTCATACTTCCTGTCAAGAATTTTGGTTCTGCTCTTTGAGCATGCTCTCCTTTAAGTTGTATCTGAAGACTCGGAAGCATGAATTGCTGTTAAATGCTCCTTGGGCCAAAGTTGTGTTGAAAACTCAAAAACTATGTTGGTAGCTTTTTTGTTTTACGAGTACTAAAATTAAAAAACAATTTCATGTTGATGAGACTTTTTTATAATTATTTTATATATTCTCTATAGAATATATGATCTCCCTAATCCTTACGAATAAAATAGTTTGTTATATATATGTTTTGAAATATTGACAGAAACAGCTGTCATTTTTTGATATTGCAATTGGCAAAAATATTTGAGTGAGGAAAATGCACGAGGAAGTTACAGTTTTTCATTAACCCCATGCACCGTTCCATGGGAGTGCGCATGACCTACCTGTTTTTGTCATAGTAGGAAAGTACAAGTTTACCGAGTCTAGAGCTGAACTCGGATGTATGCAGTACCTGATACTCAGCTTTATGGCTTCATTACCACCAAAAGGAAGAATTGATTTGTGCTGGCAGTTTTTCTCCTTTTTAAATCATTGTTGCATATGTAGACATGCACATTCCAGAAATCAATAAAAAGAGGACGGTTCTACAGAAAGTTGAGTTGCTCGAGTAAGACTTCTGGTTTTTTAACGGGTATTCTAGCGGGATTTTAATGTTAGCCTCCTCTTTTAATCCAACATTTCTTTTGGTTGGATATTTAAGGTGCTTAGAGATTCAACTTTCTTTAGAACCATCCTGTTTGATTTACTGTGTCATTTAGCTCGCCAAATGGATTTCAATTGACTGTTATGGGATTCCTTTACGTGGTCTTTCTGAAGCTGAAACTCATGATGTGTACTTTTCCCTCAGATGATAGCCAAGTTCGTAGAACTGATAAAATTGGTTTACTACATGCTGCAGGTTGCATTTAGGACTAAGGTGTTTCACCCAAACATCAATAGCAATGGAAGTATATGTCTTGACATTCTTAAAGAACAGTGGAGCCCAGCACTTACAATTTCCAAGGTTTGATATTACTTGGTTCTCTTGATATTCAATAATTTTTCCAAAAAAAAAAAAAGGTTTGTCATCAACTAAGGAGGTGTTTGGATAGAAACCAAACCATGGATTCAGAAGTGCTTTTACGGATTACGAAATAAATATGTAGAGGAGGTTACTCGTTTTGCGGGAAAGTGATTCTGAAACCTAGGTTTTGGTTTTGCCAAACACCCCCTAATAACTAGATGTATATCTGCATTGCCACGGGTTGCTGTTCACATGCCGCTTGTTTTTATTCAACTCGTCCTGATTCTTTACCGGTTTGGCTTCCAATGGGTTTTCAACCTACACTTGCGTGGCAATCTTTGAGAATTTTTCTAGATGTTTTAGTGTGTTTACTTCCCTCTGGGGCCAAGAGAAGAATTTAGAGTATAGGTGATGTTTAAACTGGAAGCAGCCTAGATATGCGAGATTTTTATTGTTTCTGTGTGTATAATATTCTATCAACTTTGTCGACATCTGATTTTTGTTTAGTTGAGCTATAGGTTAAGCCATCTTGATAAGCTGATCGTATGTGATCTGACATACATAAAGGATTGAATAATTCAAATATACTATTCAGTTTCTTTAAATGGAGCTTCATTCTTATATGATAACCTGATTGACGACACCTCTAGATGTATTGCTGTAGTTCAATCGCTGAAAAACTATTTCCCATTATCTTCAGGTCCTTTTGTCAATATGTTCGTTGTTGACGGACCCCAACCCTGATGACCCCCTTGTCCCTGAAATCGCTCACATGTACAAGACCGACAGAGCCAAGTATGAAGCTACTGCTCGCAGCTGGACACAGAAGTATGCCATGGGATGATGGGTCCTGCCTTATCTCAACTGGTTGAATAAGGCTCCAGAAAAATTATTTCACTTCTCTTAATGTAAACGAATTAAAAATGTCTTGAATGAATGCTTTCTCTTCTTGTCTGTGGAACTTAAAATCGGTAATTGGTGAGGGTGTTTGGCTATCATTTGTGAATATTCCTTTTGTAAGACGTTGGTGATGTGGAGGTAATTGTTCCTTAAACCTTTCGAACGATCTGCTTTTTGACTGGTTACCCCATGATAACTCAGGCTATATTTTATAGGACGTGGGTGTTGGCATAACTCGAGTAGATTTGGCTCCTAATTTACGAGGGAAGACCGTATAAGCTGGAAATTTTATAGCGGGCCATGAATATCTTGCTGTTTATCGGCTGAAGGGTGCTTTTAACTCGGGGGTTTGTTCAAGGCTTCAGGTCTTCAGAAAAGCGAGAGTAGAATAATGATGATGATGAGAGTGGGAAGAAATAATTTAGTATCAGGTGATACGGATCTTTTCTGGACTCGAAAATCGCCAAGTTTTATTCAAAATGGAGAAATTTGAAGAACAAGTTGGTCTTTGGATGGATATGTGAAGAACTGCGATTTCGAGAATTAATCAGAGATATATTGTGGTTCTGATTTTATCGTCAATATCTTACAAAAAGAAAATATTCAAAAAAATCATAATCTCTCCTTTTCCATGACGTCCCGTCCAGTTCAAACGTAGTGTACTGATATGAACGTTGAAGCAGCAAGTTGTGCTTCCCATTAGCCATTAGTAGATGATGACTGCGAGGAACCATAATTGTGAGGCTGGGAAGATGAAAGCTGCCTTTGAAAAGCGAAAGGGCATGTTTTTGTGCATGCTTCTTTCTGGGTTGGCCATAACTCCCTTCCCTCAATGCTCAAACACATTGCTCTCCGAATCAAAAGCAAATGCCCCCAATTGTGGCGCATCATTTCCTCTCTTCCCACGATGCATGCCGGAACCTCCTCGTGGAAATTGCTTCAAGGGGCCTTTTTTTTTTTTTTTTTTGTAAAAAAGTGATTACACTCACATGCCCAATACTGGAGATTATGCAGGAAAGTACGTACTGTGTGTCTGACATGATAAATGGTGTGTGGTCTTATAATTTTGACAGTATGACGTGGGGACAGAGGCGAGACCATCCAATCAGGCGTCAGGCGGCGGCCGACTGTTGGCATCGGCAAAGAACACTTCCCTCTGCGTCCAAACGTACCTTCAACGATATCCCCTGTTTCACGGGCTCCTCCCTCCCCGTCTGGCTTTTTCTTTTTCCTTGTAAGACTCCCCCTTCAAACTGTTCATATCTGACACGCCTCAGATACTCCCCTCCATGTCCCGCTTCCCACCTCATGAATTAAAAGCTCAGTAAGATTTGACCACTCCCTCAATAATTGTGTCTCGCCTTATTGACTATGTTAGTTGGCACGTACTACTATCCCTATATTACAGCCTATCACTTCGTGGCTATCACCTTAATCCCCCACTCAAAATCTCAACAAAATGTCCGTTGAGTTGGTTCATTTGCGTTGACTTCCCAGTTTATTTCATTTAATTTTATATGCCTGGCGCATGCAGGGACTGCACTAACGGTGCACTCGCAACGATCCACGTATCTGACGTCACAAAGTAACGATCATGCCCCGTGCTTTATTTAATTTTCATTTTATGGCTTTAGGTAATTAACTGGCGTCATTGTAATACTGGTAATCTCTCATGTAGATTTTATTTGAGAATCGGTCAGAATTTTTTGAAAAAAAATGAAAAGGATGGAGGGGGGATAAATAGGAGGGGTCGCCATCTGGGAATTGGAGTGGCTGTGCCCCTTAAGTGGGATAAGAAGACACGTGTTTGACTGGGTGGCAGGTCTCTTCCCCTTTGCTTCTTCCCCAAGCCATGGCAAATGTAAACTTAAGCTAACTACTCTCTGGAGTCGGGGCGCTCATTTTCTTTCTTTTTTATCTGATTTTTTTTTTTAATTTTTTCCCCTGTGTCATGTTAAATAATGAATTGATTAATTAGGAAAGAAGTTCAGAGTAAGTAATTAACCACTGCAACATATCCTCCTGCAGTCTTACTGGCTCACATATAATTAGTTCATTAATCACGCTTCCAATTTTGTCTCGTATATGCTTTTCAACGTTAGTCCAGCGTGAGAACCCCGGTTCAGGTGAAGACGTGATCACTGACATTAGCATCAACAAAGATCCAACACCACTCGCCTCAGATTGGAAGTTAAATGGTCAAATCCTGTGAATCGGTGATTGTTTAATCATAATTAATTTCCCAAGCTGCTCAACCCTCTAATTCAATAAATACGTAGAAATGTGATGCGCTGCGTTATACGCGTCCTTCTTTAGTGCTGACTGTGCTGTAATGTCCTTAAAAATATTATTTTCCCCCTCAGAATAAAACATAAAAAATGATAGTATTAAATGTTGATTTGAAATGGAGAGGAGACACACGAAGCAATAGTATTTTTCAAAACAATAAAGCTAATGAAGAAATGGGGGGAGAAGATGGAAAGAGTAAATCGGAGCAGGTGAGAACAAGGAGGCGGTAAAAGAGAGTAATGAGAAGAGAGGAAGAAAAGAAGGAGGGGGAGTGGACACGTCAGCAGAGGCAGCTGGAAGCCCGGAAGCTGCTGCGTCTTCCCACTCTGGAGAGCGACGTGAACCCCCGCCCTTCTTTTTTTCCTCCAAAAAAATTTAAAAAACTGCGCTCCACTCACTCCCAATTCTCTTCGTTTTGTTTTAGATCAGCATTAAGATTGAAGGTTTAGGCTTTGTTTAAGTCTTTGATTCCATCATGGAACGAAGCTTGTTTCCTATTACTATTTGAATCAAATAAAGAGCTTCCCCCTTTTTCTTCGTCTTCCAATGAGTGTCCTCCTTCCTTTTATATATATATACACATATGCCCCCCCATTTTCTACTTGCTGCTCTTACTGTCACTGCCCTAACTCTCCCGCCAAAATTCCCTCCTCTTCTCTCATCTCCCTTCTTCTTCCCTTTCCTCCCTCTCTCTTTCTCGTCACAGTTTCATCGCATCTAAACCTTCTCTCACTCGCTTCACGCAGCATAAGCCCCTCTCCTTTTATCCTGATTCCTCCCTCTCCCTTTTTGTTCTTCCCTTCTCCCACTGCCTCTCCACAATTCTGTCTCTTTTTCCTTTTGATGCTGCCAACCTCCCCCATCATCACTCCTCACACTTCCAACTTCTTCACTCCCTCCTCCCTGGACACCTTAGCCTCTCAGAACCAAACTGTCTTCTCCCCTCTTCGTCATCATGTCCCTGCCCTCCGGCCTTCATCCTCGCCCCGAAACATGCCGAGTCCCGGTGAGAAAGAGAACCGATCACAGGCTCCTCAGGATCATACTCACTGATCACGACGCCACTGATTCTGACTCTGACTCTGACTCTGAATCTTCCGCCGTTGAAACCTCACAACAATCATCAAGACTCAGGCGCCGCATCACACAGATCACCCTCCGTCTTCCCTCCCCCAATTCTCCCTCTTCCTCCGCCACCTCTCCCCGCGCTCCTCCCAAATCAAACCCGACCCGATTAAGGCGACTCGCCTGTGCCTCTACCTCTCGCCGCCATAATAGGTACAGAGGTGTTCGCCAGAGGCCTTGGGGTCGGTGGGCCGCCGAGATCCGGGACCCGGGCCGAAGAAAACGGGTCTGGCTCGGAACCTTCGACACGGCGGAGGAAGCCGCATCTGAGTACGACAGGGCAGCACTGAAGCTCAAGGGTCCAAAAGCGGTCACCAACTTCCCCAACACCGTCAGTACGGACGATTCAAAGACCCCGACGGCCGCCGCGGATGAAAGTCCCAGCACTGAAGGAGCGGTTTCGTACTCCGATACGGCGGCGTCGCCCACGTCTGTGCTGCCCTGCGATGGCGATTCGACGGCGTTCGACGATTTCCGCATCGGCGATGTGGATGCGTTCGGGTTCGACATAGACGTGCCGCTGGGGCTGCCGGACGTGAACGTGATGTTGTCGAGTCAACCGTTTGGGAAAGAGGACTTCGGTGAGTTTGACTTCGATGACTTGACGTGGCCCAACTAAAATCTCGGGGGCATCTCTCGTCTTTTTGCCAAAATGCCAGGGACTGTCTCGTAAATCCGTTCGGCGGCGCGTGATTAAAAGTTTTGTCTGTGTTGATTTAAGCGGCGAAGATTTGATTCGGGTTTTGGAGGAGTAATCAGTTTGATAATTAAAAGAACTGAATGAAATTAGAATTGAATTACGGTGAATAGGAAGATCAACGATGTCCTTCAATCTCCAGCCTATGAATTATTATAAGCGTGGAATTATTTTGTTGTATGATGTCGAAAATTTTGTTGCTCGGATAATCTTGTAATTTACTGTGCCTTTTTTGGTCTAAAAATGAACAAATATTTATGAAATTGTAGTAGATTAAATTCCGTGCATTTGGATTCTTGATTTTATAAATTGAATTAAAAATTAGAATGTAATAATAAGACACGTGGTTGCAAGTCAGCCACGTGGCTTGGAACTATAAGTCAAATATGAGAGTCTCCCGTAGGAGTAGGATTTTTATTCGGTGCGTCATTACGTTCGGATCCAGCTTTTTTCGGTCCTTTAATTTTTCTTTATGCATTAGCGAAATTGAATTGAATTGACTTTTATGAAACTGACGAGGAAAACCAAAAAAATATAAAATTGTTTGTCTCCATGATTATACGAAAAATGAGTGGCTCTACTGATATTTTGTTTACTATGTACAAGTATATGAGAAGAGTTAGAGGTTGGCCAAAAAAAAAAGGAAGTTATAAAAGCTAGAGACATAAATTCTTACAACACTCCTAATCCGTATGTTTTTTGCCTGAGATTCCTCATCTGTACTGAGATTCCTCATCTGTATCTGTTGTTTATTTGACCAGAGATTCACTTGTAATTGTTTAGCGATTTATTATTGAGTATTCTCGAGTCAAAAAAAATATATTTAAATTTATTTTAAAAGCCCATTGTTTTGCTTGCAGATGAATTTAAGAGTAAAAAAATTGATCAAATAATTTGTTTATTAAAAATGCAAGTCCCGTGATTAGATTCCTCAGTGGGATCTCCTGCCACGCATCTTGCTGGCAAACATACTCCATGGAATTTCAGCGAAAAATTTTATAGAATTAAAATAATCAAAGTGCATGTGAAGCTTTATTTTAATGCCTATATCAATATAC